ATAGATAACATTTGATTAAAAACGTAAAAAAGAAAGTGGAAAATACGTGTCCAGAAAAGCAAACGAAAAAATGGATATGCATTAATCACATTGGCTTTATCGCGACGTAAACTCGTTAAATGCATTAACGACAATTCGATACGCAAAAAATACGAAAGACATGGCTTTGTGATTTCTTTTATGTCATTTATAACATAATGTTTATCTTTAAATTGTTCGCGGAATTAATTCGTAGAATATAGGAGGGAAAGCGATATTTTTCGTCGAAAAAATCCCTCGGTTAAAAATATTTCGTAGATATTTATTGATATTTTGTAAATTTTATTATCTTGTCACGCGTATGATATTTTACAGTTTAATATGTAAAAAAAAAATCGCGGTTTTTATCGTTTCTATAAATATCTATATTTTTCCAACGAGTGTGAATTTCCGAAATTTTCAAAGGTAGTGAAAATAAAAAGTTCTTACTTACCAAGTGACTAACAATAACATTTTTCTATATAATTTTATAATATTTATTTTATAGAATTTTATTTTATTTTTTCATATAATTTTTCAACTAGAATTACACTTATTATAATCAAGACTGCACATATAACAAATAATATTTTTTAATCAGTACTATATATATTGTTTATCATTAACAAAATTATATATTATATTAATTATATATTAATTAATTATTAATTTATATTAATAATAGATTAATAATATACTTAAAAATAAATATTTAAATTACTTAATACTTAAAAATAAATATTTAAATATTTAATAATAAATACTTAAGAGTGGTGAACATCGAACGATATAATGACAAAGAAAAATAACTATTATAAATATTATAATAATAATACTATTATATATAGTAACTGTATATAATATTACCAATGTAATGAAAATGTAATGTAATGAAAAATAAAAATGACTGTTAGTTTTTTTTTCGTTGCACATACAAACAAATACATCAAAAGCTTATAATTTACATGTACAAAAAAACCCACTTCGTAATTCAAAATATAAATATATGTTACTTTACATTTTCAAAATAAGTGGCAGAAAATAATAAAATGTACAAAAAAAAAAAAAAAACAGAAAGAAAAATAAGTAAGACCAGATACGCGGGTCAAACCGGATACCATTGTTTTTCTAAAATAAGAGCTTCGATATGTAATCGAACTATGGCATGATATTCGAATGGATTCCACAACCTTATTCTACAAGTTTCAGACACAATCAACATCGTAGTGTTCCGTACAGATAGAATAAAAAATTTCAGTTTGAAGAGTTTTAATGCTTTGTCATATAAGTGATTTTAGTGTTTCCTCATTCAGGAATCCATTCAGATAAATAATATTTGTATTCTATAGTCCTTAGAGTATTTTGATCCTTTTTTCTATCTCATACTAAAGTATAAATATTTAATATTTAGTAAATGAATGCAATCCTCGTATTATCTGTGTATAACATACGTGTCCTTCCGTTTTCATATTTCTCATCTCGTGTTCAGATTGTTATTATTTTGTACGTATATTCTGGGCAGTAGTACTGTTAAGCAGTAGATAATTGTTAAAAACTATAGCACTGTTAAATACTTATTACGAGGAGGAGGTTACGAAGTGGTTGATTTCTAATTCTGAGAATAATTTGTTAAGTAGTATGTTATAAGCTGTATTTTTTTTTTTAGAACAGCAACGTTAGAAACTGCTGTTCAAAGGTTCAGAAGAAGTGGAATATTTCCTTTTAACACCAACTTATTTCCCGATCGTCTATCGGAAACAACAAACTGTCAGGATACAGCGGCAAGTGAAAATATCAGAAGAGCAGCACTCATGGAAGATTTATCATTAACATCAACAGAAACGAAAAGTTTCTTATCGACATCAAAAGACGCAGAAATTGTACCATCTATATCGAAGGATATAGAACTCGTTCCATCCTCGTCACAGAATATTGATTATAAATCAACATTTACATTTAACTAAACAATTAAACTTATCCTCCAAGCAGAGCGAACAATAAGAAAGAGTGGAGGGAAAAAAGGAAAAGCGACCATAATAACATCTGAAAAATATAGAAATCAGTTGGAAGATATACTCATCAAACTATAAACATTGTACTCTGAAATTATTAAAAGGAGAAAAACATTTTGTAAAAAACAAATAAGTTATCTACAAGCGATTTTGCTTTTTATATTCCAAATTCAAATAACAATGGATTCAATGCACCATGTGTTATGGATGTGATATGTACAAGTATTGAAGAGGACGACGAATATTTTATTTGTGACTTTTAATTAAGATATATACAAATATAATGTAAGGATATATATATATATAAATTTATTATTATATAAAATATAATGATATAAATTTATCGTTATATAAAATAATTTAAATTTTTTTATAAACACGGTAAAAATTCTTAAACTAGTAATTAACATAATTTTTTATATGACAGACCGAATAGAGTATATTTGCTAACATTGTTAAAAATAATTACTTTTACTACTTTTTAACTAATAAAAATAAAAATTTTATAACTGTATTGCATTTTATACGTCTTTATACGTACGTAGGTACCCACCCCCTATATGGCGAAATAGGGTTTTTGCATACTTTCAGAACATTTTATTTTTTCCAAATAAGAGATTTAACTTTGTGCAAATTTTGTTT